CGCCGCGGAACGCGCGAATCGTGTTGAAACTTTCCGGAATCGCGTACGTGTTCCCCGGGTCTGCGGAGATATCGTAGTTCCCCGACGTTATCCGTGAACCCAGCTTTGTTCCGGATTTAGCTCGATGAAAGTTTCGGGAACCGAGTCACGCGTTCACGATCCACGAGAAATAGAATCCACGCTGTTTGTACGTAATTAGCGATTATGAACCCCTTCTTGCTCGTCAGCCACTGCACCTGAGATTTCTACTGCGATTTCGACTTCTACACCCTTCGCTCTCTCTCTCTCTCTCTCTTTCTTTCTCTCTTTCTCTCTGTTACTCTCTTTCCACCTTCCCCAGCCTAGTTTCCTTCTCCTTCGTACCATTTTAGATGCATCGCAGTGCATCGACGATCGGTCGGTTCGCCGGATATCGAAAACTACTTTAGATATTCTCCCGGCCGCCGAACGAACCCATCATCGTTAATCATGGGAATCCCAAAAAATTACTTGTCGACCGACGAGGTTGTAAGTCGAATGTTCGAACGCGTTGAAGTTCCTGTTTGACTTCCATGGCAAGGGAACATTTGGTTTCCTCGTCACATAGAGTGACTCGCTAAAATGTTCGTACACCTTTTAAAATGCAATAACTATTTTAGAACTGAACTAAATGACTTGAATTTTCGTTTAGATGATAGGGGGACTAGTCTACTAGACGATGATTGCTATGCTTTTTTTTAAAATTTTGTTATTATTTTGAATGACAAGATAGAAATGAAAATCTCTCGTTTTTTAACTGTTTTATCTGAAAAAAATGTTTTTCGTAGATCTCGGTAACTTATATGTATGTTGACAATGTTATCGAAATCGTTTCACGTTGTTACGAGTTGCAACAAATTCAAGATCGCAGAAATCGCAGTTTTATCGCGATTTCCATGAAAAACTGTAAGAGATCTGCAGTTTTTGAAATCCTTCAACGCCTGTAGCTCGATTCTGAGTTAACCAATTTCAACCAACTTTTCAGCACGCATTTACCGAGACCTACAAAAAGCGTTTTTTAAATTTTCGTTATAGGCTCAGATAGAAAAGTTGAAAAACGAGGGTTTTTGATTTTTTCTTTTCATTCCAAGTAATAGCAAAATTAAAAGAAAGCTTTTCAGCCATCGTCCTATCATCTAAAGTCCTATCATCTAAAAATATTTAAGTCATTTGGTTCAGCTTTAAAAAAGTTATTGCGTTTTAAAAGTTGTTCGAACACTTTTGTGTGCCATTGCAGTTGACTGAAACTGAAGTTCAGATTACTTATCAATGCAATCGGAAGACTCATATCGAGACGTGACAAAAATATTAACCCTTTGCACTCGAAGCCATTTTAACTCTGAGTTCACAATATAGTTTCTCTAACTTACAGTATTTCCATTTTCTACGATTTAAGTGCATTTTATATACATGAAATTGACTTTTAACATTGCACTCTCAACAGTTTTCAAAATACAAACAAATTTGATAACGTTGAAATTCTTTGGAAATGTTACGTAACAATTGTGGTGCAACAAAAGTGGCGAGTCGGAGTCACCAGTCGAGAGTTTCATAAAAATCGACTTCGAGTCCTATTAAAAATTATGTAATACGTGTACGTTCGACGTGACAGGCGAAGTGTTGGAGCGAAGCGCCGGCGGAATTGATCAGCGACGGAAACCGAGATTGATTGGAGCCACGCTAATTCGAAGTGGCGCCCGCGGTTCCGTGGGTCTTCGTCTGTCACGTACTTATAATGACGTAATATAAATTCAATGGTGGAATTGTGGCGGCGCATGAACGATTTTTACGACCCGATGGCTAAAGTATCCCGGCCCGACGAATGGCGACGGGGACGCGTGTTTCGAATTGCTGCACGCTTTATGTAACGCTGTTCCTCGTGATTCGTGTCCCCACCCCTCCCCCTCCCCCGCGAAACTTACGAGCTACGGAGTTTGAGGAGGGTTCGTTTGGATCGTTAGGGATTCCAAAATAATTGAAGATGCTTGGAACGTTTGAACGAAATGCTACGAGGCTCTCGAAAGTTTCATTC